AAAGTGATCCCTTTCAGAGCAGTTGGTAGTGATAGCTAGGCACCATCTAGTTCTTCTGGTCTCAGAGTCATGGAGACTAATGCTCACATGTTCCGTTAGTTCACTGGACCTAAGTGATTCCAAGCATGTTCAGTTCTCATCAATATTTTTTCTTAGTGTTTTTGTTTTATAAACTTTATAAGAAACTGCCAGTGTTCCAAAGTGGTGCTGCTCTTTTAAAGTAGCCCTGGTGCCACAGAAGTTAAGTATTCAGCTGTCAACCCAAAGCTTGGCAGTTCAAACTCATCCAGCAACTCTGCAGGAGAAAAGATATGGGAATCTGTTGCTATAAATATTACAACCAAGAATACCTATGGGCAGTTCTACTCTGGCTGTAGCCAAGGTTGACTATTTTAGCGACTGTTAAAAGACATCTCAATGAGGTTTCAGTTTTTATTTCTCATTAGAGTGCTGGTGTGGTGCTGTGGGTTAATGCACTGGACTATAAAGTCAGTTTGAACTACAAGTTCGGCAGTTGAAGCTCACCAGTCACTCCCTGGAAACCCTACAGAGTGGGTTGACCAAGTTCTGAGTGTGGAGAGAGGAAAGGGTTGGTATGGGTCGCAACTGACTTGAGGGCACTTAACAACAACCATTACTAATGATGTTGAGAATTTTTCAAGTATTGGTTGTTCATTTGTATATATTTGTTAAAATGGAGTTTTCTTTTCATTGTTGATTTGTCGTCGTCTTTAAATACTAGAGGTACAGGTCTTAAGTCAAGTAAGTGGGAGTATGTCTTATGTCAAGTAAGTGGGAGTATGAAAAGACAAATGTTTTTCATTTTCATAGTGGTGCGTTCTCCTTATGAGCAGAGGTTCTGAATTTGGATAGTCCAATTTTATCTTTCATTTAGTGTTTGTGTGTGTGTATGTGTGCATAGTGTGTGAGTATGCGATCTCTTTAAGAAAACTTTGCCCACTTCAATGTCACAAACATATTTACTTAAGTTTTGTTCCAGAGGTATTATGATGCTGGGTTTTACATAAAGGCCTATGATTCATCTTAAATGAATATTTGAGTGTGGTGCAAGATTTATTTTCCCCTTATGTTTATCCAGTTGTTCCAGTACCATTTGTTGAAAAGATTTCACTTTCCACACTGAGAATAGCCCCGGGCCCTTTGTCAAAATCAATTGACTCTGTCTGTGTGGGTGTATTTCTAGACTCTGTTCTGTTTTATCAACCTATTTGTCTACCATTGGAGGGTTATGGGTGTGGAGCGGTATGTGTCATGATGTGATTTATACTTTTTTAAAGGATCAATCAGAGTGGAGACTAGACTAGGGCAAAGTGGAAATAGAATGATCAGTTTGGATGCTATTACTGTGATCCAGGTATGAACAGATGGTGGTTGCAGAGAAAATTGTGAGAAGAGGAAGGCTTAGGATACATTCTGAGGTTCAGCCCCTCCCCCCAGGGCTCAATGATGACTGAGATGTTGAATCTGAGAAACTCCATTGCTGTTGAGCCGATTCTGACTCGTACTGACCTGAGAGAGCAGACAAAATGGATGACTCCAGGGCATCATCAACAGGAGGAATGGAGTTGCCATCTACTGAGATGGGAAAACTGATGAAGGGGTACAGTAGGGGTGGAATTGGGATGGTGAGTTTGGACAAGTTAGGTCTTAGAGGTCCATAAAACCAAACCAGTTGCTGCTGAGTCCATGCTGACACATGATGACCCTATGTGTGGCAAAGTAGAACTGTGCTCCCAAGGTTTTTAAAGGTAGACTTGAATCTTTGAACTTCAGTTAGCAACTGGGAGTGCTAAATGTTTGCACTACTCAGGCACTTCATATAGATCAGGGACTTGAGAATAGATCGATGAGTATGGGACACAGGGGAACTAAAGATACAAATGTAGAAGCCATTAGAAGTCATGGGATTGGGCTGAGATGACCAAGTTCTGAGTGTGGAGAGAGGCAAGAAAAGATCCAAGGGCTGGGTCCTGCTTGAGGTCAAAGAGGAGGAAGAAGCAGCAATGGAAATGGAAATGCAAATGAAAATCAGGAGAGGGTAATGTCTTGGAAAGTCAAAGGGGGAAAGGTGCTTCAAGAAGAAGGGCATGATCAACTGGGTCAGATGCTCTAATAGGTCAGGTAAGATGATGACCAAGAGCTGAACCACTGGATCTGGCCATTGGTGACTGTGATGAAGACAGTTGTGAGGAAACAAAGTCTGGTAGCCATGGATTCCAGCAATAATGGCAGGGGCTGGCTCTTCCAATGACTTTGGGGCACGGAAAAATGGAACCATCCCCAGAAGAGGCTGTGGAACAAGGGCAGATTTAGTGAAATGAGAAGAGCATGGTATGCTTCTATGATGACAGGAAGGGTCCAGCAATGAGGTGGAAACGGACAATGCAAGGATGGAGGAGACCCTTACGGACAGCGGCACTTTGTTGGTGAGAGGAGCTGGGATGCAATAAACAGGTGAGGAGAGCTGGTTCCAGATGGAAGCAGGGCCAGCCCATTCTTTGTAAAGGAGGTAAGGCAGCTTGGGTAGAAGGAATAAGAAAACAACGTCATGTTCTGATTTCTTCTATTTACCACCTTCATTTTAAAGATGTAAAAAATCCAGGCTCATATTGGAACATTGGTTTGTCCAAGGTCACTCAGTTAACAAGTAGGGAACAAGAGCTCTAGAGTTCCCGGATGGAAGATGGAAGTTCCAAGATAGAGTTCCAAGATGGAAGATCAGCAGAGGAATTCTCAGCTGGAAGGCCTGAGGGAAGGTCAGAGAAGTCTTCTGAGCTACAGAGGATGACATTTGAGCTGGAAATGCCATTCCAGGCAGGAAGAGCAAGAGCAAAGACCTATTGCAGAGAGATATGTCCAACCTCCACTGGCTCAGCATTCAAAGTCCTGGTCAGATGACTGGATTTTGTCTCCAGGGGCCAGCTCATCAATCCTCTGTTTCCACCCCTAGCCAGAGAGCAGGGGAGTAATGTGCTGATAGTTTTGGATGCATACACTTAGGACCCCTTTGATTCACTCCTATTGTTCACACCCACCCACCACTTCAATGCATCCTTACCACAATCCCACTTGGTGGGCTACACAGTGGTTAAGAAGTCTAGAGTTGGACAGACCAGGCTGGGTGACCTTGGGGACACTACTGTAAACATCAGTCCCCCCATCTATAAAATGGGAATGTAAAGACCTTACAGGTCTTTACAAAGATTAAAGGAGGTATTGTGAAACAAGCACCTGATACAAAGCCTGGTTTCTAGCATGTATTAAACACATCTTCACCACCTTAGTTCTCAAACTGACATCTATTCAGTTGAACACTTTAAAAAGGTCTTGTGCAGCAGATTTGCCCAATGCAATATGTCGTTTGATTTCCTGACTGCTGTTTCCATGAATGTTGACAGTGGATTCCATTCCAGCAAAATGAAGCCTTTGACAACTTCAATCTGTTCTTCTCCCCATTCAGTAGGACAGAAAACTGAGGCTCAGAGACATAAAATGCCTGAGCGCTCACCAGTTGATAATAGCAGAGGTAGGATGAGGAGTCAGCTCATGGGTCTCCCTACTCACTCACCCAGTTTGACCCCTTCACACTGGTGTCCTTGCTGTGTTCCCACATTCCCTGTGTGTACACACATGCAGTGAGTGTGAGTGGGTCATCTCTTCTCTTGCTCTGATAGGGGTGGGTTGGGGGAAGCGCCAGTTAACCTAGCCATCTGTGATCAGGGCCAGGGCAGGCAAGTGCTTTAATTTGGCTTAGAATAGGAGCATGATGGAGGGAGCAGGTCATTGGAAGCCCCCTATTGTTAGGTGATGCGAGCTACAGTTCACCTCTTGCCAGGTGTTTTGGAGTCCTTGTCTGGTCCCTCATCTTCAGTGGGGTGGGGCAGGGAGTCATCCCATGGGAAACTGGCTCTAGGAGTCTTGTGCATTTCTGGTAGAGAAAATTCCACATCTTCTCTTTCCCTGCCCCAACTCATGTTAAGAGAGAAGTATTAGGGGAATGGTTAGTTCTTAAGGGATTGCTCTGGGGATGTTCACAGTTGGTGCTCTGTGGGATGAGAAAGCAGATCAAAGGTTAGGACTTGGGTTTTCAGGCTGAGCGGGCCTTGGGCATCTGCTTTCCAATCTGTGACCACTTATCACACACACAAATAACACAAATTACATTCACTGACTTAAAAGTCTAAGTCAGAGTGATCTCATCCCATGTCCTATGTGTTCCTGACCCATCAAAGCCTTCTATTCATAAATCCTGACCCTGATCCAGCAAGCCCCTGGCCTACTGTGTTTATGACTCTTCCTTGCAACTGTCTTCTTACGTCATGCATTTCTTATTATTTTCTGAAGACCCCCTAGTTCCCTTCTAAGTTCCTAACTGGAATCTGAAAAACCACCTCTATTTCAGAGTTTACCTAGTAAAGTCCCTTGTTGCCCCTCGCCTCTTGTGTTCTGACCCCCTATCCAGCAAACTTCCTTAAGAATCTGAGTGCCATCTCGGACTCCAGTTTCTCTATCTGCTCCTGGCTACCAAGGTTATCTGCAGCCCAAGAACCCTGTAGGATGTATGGTACATCCTAACCTCTCTGCCTATGTTTACAGTCCCATTGGGGAATGGGTTGTCTTTGTTATGTTGATGTTGTGATGGGCCAACCTCTTTTGAGACACAAAAACAATTAAACAAGCAAGCAGGGGAGAGATGGTGGAAGAGAGATGCCAAGAAACATGGAGATCCCCAAGGAGCCATGAAGCAGAAGCTGAAGAAGCAAGGAGCTGACACACAGAGACTTCCTCTAGAGTTGGTACTGTGAATTCAGACTTCTAGCCTCCTCAATCGTGAGACAACAAATTTCTGTTTTGAAAGCCACCCACTTGAGAGATTTTTGTTACAGCAGTTCCAGATATCTGAAGGCAGACTCTACTCCGAGGCTCCCCACCGCCCAGGCCCGCAGGGCACCTGCAGAATAGCCCTGACTAAGTCTTACCCAGCGTAACCTCAGCCTGCATGGGCATCGACAAAGCAGGGTGCTTAACCTCACAGCTGAAGAGGGCCTCGTTGTCGATCTGCGGGTTGAGGGTCCAGGTGAGCAAGGCGCGCACCTCCACGGTGCCGTCGCTGCCTGGGGCGTGGCTGTGACGCAGGAAATAGATGGGCTCCGCGCTGTGGACCCAGCGGGGGAACTCCCGGCTCACTACAGTCTCCGGAATGTTCTCAGTGGTGGGCTGGAGGAAAATGCTGGGCTCTGGGGTTAAGCCTCGGGAGGGACGCTCCGTGTAGGGGCGCCCACCCCGGTTCTCAGCATCCAGCAAGGACAGCGATTTCTGCACCTTGGTGTCATCCAGATCTCGGTGGAGGAGGCTGCGGAAGGGCCTGCCGTCTTGGAGGGGACCAGAGCTGGCAATCAGAGGCTCCGACAGAGGCACTGCATCAATAGCTTCCCCATCTCGTTTGAAATAAACCTGAAATTGTAAAGAGGTTGTGGGAAGAGGTTTTGTGGGGCTGACCTTGCCCTCCCAGTGGTCTTTCAACATAACTAGCACAGGACACGAGGTCTTCTGGAGCGTCCTCCTCTGAGTGGCATTCTCAAGGTACCCTCCCCCATCTATTTCTTTCCTGCCAGCACCCCCAAGGCACTGTGAGTCTGCATGGCCCCCAGCAATACACACAAAACAAACCCTGCAGATGGATGATGCCTGCCAACTCCATCATGGACCAGCTGGTCAACCCCAGTGTCCTCACTGATAATGGGGAATAAAAACACCTACTTTGTGGGGTTCTTAGAGGCTGAAGTCAAATCATGTATGGCAGGAGGAGGGGCAAAGATGCTGGACACAGGTCTGGCAGCACCTGGGCTTTGCCAGAGGGAGGCCCGTGTCCACTTGGGGAGAATGCATGGGCACCAAGATGAAAGGAGATGTCAGGAGAAGCCACAGGAAGGAAGGGTCTATGTGTATGTGCATATTAGAGACTGGAAGCAGAGAACAGGTGTGTGTGTGGGAGGGAGAAAGGTGTGGGGACGAGGCTAAAGCAATCGTCTTCTCACTTTCTCTGCAAATGGGAAATTCAGGTTTTGAGCTGTGATATTTAATTTAATTTGCTGTCTTTTTATTTGGGTACATGTGCCCAGAGGCCTGTGGGGACTAGGTGTATTTTTTAATAAATCAGATAAATAAATCGATAGGAGACAGGGAGAGAGGAGAGGAAGAAACAGCTCTTAGAAACACTGGGGAGCGGGGAGGAGAAGATGGCAGATGTGGGGAGAAGAGAGACAGGCTTCAGGGCCAGAGGAGGTGGGAGAGGTGTGGGGGGTAGATGAAATTTGGAAAGTGGAAAATCTGTCAGAGTTTATATAGCTCTAATGAAGAATCTTTTATGCACAGAATGGTCTGCTTTGGGTTTTTCTTTCCTCTTTTTTTTTTTTTTTGAAAAGTGCTTCAAAAGCAGGTTTGTAATTTATATCAAAGAGTTCCTTTCAAGTTCTGATGTCCCAGGCAAAAAAAAAAAGATGCCCGGAATGTGGAGTGATGAGGTTCTTTTATACACACACGCACACATGAACACAAGGGAGCTTCTGAAAGTTCATGGAAAAATGGAATTAAAATATAGTTTCTCCACAAACTTTCTAAAACGTTCATGGGTGTATATATGTGTAGACAGATAGATATGCATGTATCTATATACACATATGTGTGTGTGTATATATACATGTAGAGGGAGTGCAGTGGTGGGTCCATAGGATAAGCACTGGACTGTGAATCACAAGGTCAACGGTTTAAGCCCACCAGCTGTTCCACTGGAGAAAGATGAGGCTTTCTACTTCTGCGAAGATTTAAAAAGCCTCTAACACCCTACACAGGGTCACTGTGAGTCAGAACCGGCTGCTCCTTGGAAACCCTAGACAGGGTTGCTATCAGTTGAAACTAACTTGACAGTATATATATATGTTGTTGTTAAGTGCTATCGAGTCGGTTCCGACCCATAGCGACTCTGTATAGGGTTTCCAAGGAGCAACTGGTGAGCTTGAACCACCGACCTTGTAGTTCAAATGGCTTTGCAGTCTGGCACATTAACCCACAGCGCCACACCAGATATATATATATATACACACACACACATACATAATAAGAAGCTCTGGTAGCATAGTGGTTACGAGTTGGGCTGCTAACCTCAAGGTCAGCAGTTCAAACTACTAGCTGTTCTGTGAGAGAAAGATGAGGCTTTCTGCTTCCATAAAGATTTACAGCCTCGGAAACCCTACACAGGGTCGCTATGAGTCGGAACCGACTCCATAGTACAGTACCACCACCATGTATATGTATGTACGTGTCAGTTCCAACTGATAGCAGCCCTGTCTAGGGTTTCTGAGGAGCAGATGATGGGTTTGAACTGCTGACCTTGAAGCTCAAACTGACCTTGCAGTCCAGTGCTTATCCTACAGAACCACTCCAGGATATATATGTTTGCATCCTCTTGTGATACAGTGGGATAATATATAAATATACATATATTTACATATGGGAGCACAGTGGTTCCATAAGGTAAGCACTAGACTACACATCACAAGGTCCTCTGTTTATGCCTTCCAGCCACTCCCTGGGAGAAAGATGAGACTTTTTGCTTTCACAAAGATTTAAAGCCCCAGACACCCTATACAGCAGGGGTGGGGGACCTTTTATTTCTGCCAAAATTGATAGCATCATTTGTGGGTCATACAAAATTATCAACTTAATAATTAGCCTGCTATATTTGGTCAAATATTTAATTAACTCACCCTGGTGTTCAAGCTGACTTTGCAGTCTTGTGGATTAGCCCACAGCACCACACCAGGACTTCCCAACCTTGTGAGTCAAACCGAACCTGTGGCACTTAACAAGTCCTGGTGTGGCACTGTGGGTTAATGCGCTGCACTGCAAGGTCAGTTTAATCAGAAGCTCGGCGGTTCAAGCTCACCAGCCGCTCCTCGAAACCTTATACAGGGTCACTATGAGTTGGAACTGAATCAATAGCACATAACAACCACAATAATGTGATAGCTGGAGTCCAGGTGTGGCACCGTGGAATAAAGCACTGGACTGCAAGATAGGTTTGAACCACAAGGTCAGTATTTCAAAGTTACCAGTTGCTCCTTGGAAACCCTATACAGGGTTGCTTTGACTCAGAACCACTTAACAACAACAACAACAATGTGATAGCTGGAATCCAGGTGTGGCGCTGTAGGATAAACATTGGACCGCAAGATTGGTTTGAACCACAAGGTCAGTGGTTCAAACTCACTAGCTGCTCCTTGGAAACCCTATCCAGGGTCTCTATGAGTTGAAACAAACTCTCTGGCACTTAATAACAACAACAATGTGATAGCTGGAGTCCTGCCTGGTGTGGTGCTGCCGGATAATGTACTGGACCGCAAGATGGATTTGAACCACAAGGTTGGTGGTCCAAACTCACCAGATGCTCCTTGGAAAACCTATACACGGTCACTGTGAATCAGAACTAATTCAACTACACTTAACAGCAACATAGCTGGAACTGCGGGTGCCTTGGTCAGGCCAGACCAAATTATTTCCATGGGTGGGCTGGATGTTCCCCACCTCGGCTACACAGGGTCACTATGAATAGAAAGTGACTCAAGGGCACTTAACAACAACATATAATATTGTATTGCTGGCAGGTAAGGGGCGCATAGGTCATAGGTCTCCCAGCAGCCCCAAAGTTGTGAGTAGCTTTCTCTGAGCTCTCTGGAAGAAGGGTTTGTCTTTGAGGGTCAAACCAGTTTCCCTGATTTTAGTGAGGCAAGACCTCTTATGGGATCAGAAAAGGAAAATGTGGGCCATGTCCTACTTTCAGGAATTGGTGGCTTTGAAGCTGCAATTCAAAAATCTGTCTCCTCAGGACTATGGAGCGTGCATGCAGAAAAGCCCTCCCAAAGGCTTGCCTCACTCAGCAGCTTCCTGCCCAGTCCTGGACCTCTGCTCTTCTCCCCTGCCCACGCTCTCTCCCGGAAAGGGCCATGAACTTGGAGCTGGAAAACATGAACTTGAGGGCTAGCTTGGTGAAGAGCTCTAAGGTTGACCCTGTGCAAGCTCCTTCCTGTCTCCGGGTGTGGGTTGGGTACATTCTGTACAATAGCAGGGCTAGGGTTGTGCTTGATGCTACAGTCCCCTAAGGATTCCTCTTGGGGTGAAATTCTAGGGTTCCCAGGACCAGGAGAAATGAGATTCTCTGTGCTAGGAGTCTGGGAAGAAAGGAGATGCATGAATGCCAGAGCAGGACAGGGCAGGCTCATCAGCAGGGTCAGACTAAGGCAGAGGGCAGCAGAGCTGACCTAAGCCGGTCACACCTTTGTGTCCATTCTCAGGATGGGCAGAGTGGTGCCACCTGCAGATGGACAAGCCATGGAGCAGGGTGTGTGTGACAGGTGGGGAGGGGCTGGCCACTGCGGGGTACTCACCACGGGTGCTGGTTTCCCGCCAGACACGATGCAGACCAGTGTGAAGTTCTGGGCTTGGTAGCGGCTGAAGGGGGCTGGATTGTCAGCGGCCACCACTTCGATGGAGGTGGGAGGAGCTGCCCAAAAGGGAAGCACAGGAAGACAAAGATTTAACAGGAAGATTCCAGAAGAGTTCACCCATTCCCTAAGATGGTTCATGTCCCAGAGGAAGTGCTGGGGGGACGGGGCATTGCACTGTTGACGTGGACCACAGTGGGGCTACAGCCTAGTGGACGAGGCACGCGTGAGCCAAGAGATGACTCAGGTAAATGTGCCAAGTGCAACCAGCTATTGGAAGTTCTGGAAGTCCACCCTGAAGAAAAGACCTGGGCTGCTGCCTGAGGAAGCAGTGGTGTGTGGAAGGTGAGGGACATGTAGGTGCAGATGCTCATTGACAGGAAGGCTCAAGGCATTATGTTCTTGTTATATGCCGTGGAGTCGGTTCCGACTCATAGCGACCCTGTACAGGGTTTCCGAGGCTGTAAATCTTTATGGGAGCAGAAAGCCTCATCTTTCTCCCACGGAACAGCTGGTAGTTTCGAACTGCTGATCCTGAGGTTCGCAGCCTGATTCGTAACCACTACGCTACCAGAGCTCCTTCAAGACATATGAGGGGGCATCACAACAGACCAGTACAGGGACTAGGGGGCACAGAGGATCCAGCGGGGCTGAAGAGTTGTGACCTGCAAAGAATGAACTAGCTCATGAGAGTCGACTATGAAATTTTCAGGCATTTGTGAGCTGATTGTAAAAGTGCTGGCAGCTTGAATTAGACTCCAGTGGGTATTTATACACCACAGAAATGGGCAAATGCTACAAATCAGGACTTTCTCCCCAACCCCCAGAGAACCAGTTTATGAGCTGTTAATGGACTGACTGAATTGTGTCCCCTTAAACTATGTGTGTTGTTGAATTCCTTGTTCTATCTGTGCTCCTGTTTGGAAATAAGGGGGTTCTTTTGTTAGACTAATGAACCCATGCCAATTGGGATGGACTCTAAACCTTGAATTATAAAAAGACGAGAACAGACACAGAGGGGAAGGCAGACGGCAAGGAATACCACGGAATGTCAAGAATCTCTAGAAGACACGGGAAACTAGGAGAGATTTTCATAGAAGGAACTGGCACAGCTGAGACCCTTCTGTGGACTTTCAGCCTCCAGAACTGTGAGAAAATAAGTCTCTGTTCTTTAAAGCCCGCACTGTGGTATTTCTTTTACGGCAGCACTGGGTTGCTAACACACCAACACATGGCTGGTTATAGGGTTTCCTTCTTTATCCTGAAAGCAGTGGGGAGCCATTGAAGATTTTAAATAAGAGCCCTGGCATGATCTGACTCATGTTTTGGAAAGAATGAAAACAGAGCGTGGAGTGACTCTAGAGAGGACTGGAGCTTAGACTCCGGCGAGGGGAGTAAAAGAAGAGAAGTAGGTGACTAGGAGATTTTTAGATCCGGAAGCTTCCCTCCCTTTCTTCTTTCTTGCTGGTCCTCTCTCCCAACAGCTGGCTATCTACTCCTCTCACCTGCTGTCACTGGCTTGTTTGCCTCTGCCCAAGCTGCCAGCACTGGGGGGCACTGGGAAGAGCAGATCCTGAGGTATCAGGTAGAATGGGGTCTGAACCATCTACCATCTCTATGTCCTTGGACAAGTTACCCAAACTTTCCAGGCCTCAGTTTCCCAATATGTTAAATGGGAATAATACTGGGGTCAATATGTTAGAAGGACAATATGGTTTTTACACACGGTGGGAAGTCGAGATCATGATGGTTCCTACTATGATCCCTCAGTCCTCTCACAGTCAGCTGGACAGACTCAGCCAGAATCCTGAAGCTTCACTTGACAACAGCTCTCTGCACTGGTTCACTCAGCCTTGGGCCACATGCAGCGGGGAAGCAGAGAGAAGGAAGAGGCATGGGCCTTTCCTTCCTGCAGGGGGTTTTCACTCCAGTTAAGTTTAATTAAATTCAACTAGCAGTTCCTGACACCTACTAGGTGCTGGGCATGGTGCCAGACACTTCCCGTAGGCGACCAATGACGAATTCGGTACGGTGTTGAGAAGCTCACAGTCTGGCGGGGGCGATAGACACATGGGCGACTCTATTTTAAACCCTCATGATATTAACAAGGTAGGCGCCGTTCATTCATCCACGCAGCCAGCACATGCTGCCAGCGAGAGTGGCGGAGCCAACAGGAAACAATGGGAGAACAATAGATGGAGATTTGTAATTAAGTGCAAGATTGGAAGAAACAGATGGTAAGTGGGGTAAGAATTCCGAGACGAAAAAAAACACACACACCAGAACACCCGAATTACCCAGAAGTCCCAGATATGCAATCGAACTTTTCTAGTACTCGACTGAAAACTTGGATCCCATAGCAAGAACCAACTCTGGCTAACACTTCACAGCCAGATGTTCTCAGCCCTTATTTTAACTCATTCGATTCTCATCGTTAGCTCTGAGGTGTGTTTATTTGCACATGTTTTACAGATGGAGGAACTGAAGAGATGAAACAACTTATCCAAGTTCACAGACCCAGTAGGAGGGAGAGCCAGGATTTGAATGCTGGCAATTCTGGCTCCTGAGCTCAACCTCGGATTTGAAGTTGTAATTCTTCAACCTTCAGAAAGAAAAGGGAAACCAACATGTACCATTAGATCCAAAATGGGGAGGCAATGATGGTCCAGTGACAGAATTCTCTCATTGTTTATTGAGATGTTCCAAGCCAGTGCACCTCATATATAACCACCAGTCATTCATCAGTGGAAGCTTGCACATTACCATGAACAGGTTTCAAGACTAACAAAACCTAGGAAAGGTCTGGCAATCTGCTCTGAAAAAAAAATCATCCAGTGCAAACCCTATGGATCACAAAAGTCTGATTTGCAAGTGATCATGGGGAAAACACTGAACTGGGCAGCACTTTGTTCCTCTGTGCATGAGGTCACCGTGAGTCAGGGGCCAGCTTGATGGATATTAACAAGAGCCATTTTAGCCTTCAAGAATATTTACTCATCCGACACACCTCAACTTCCATTGTTGTCAGGTACCATCGAGTCAGAACCGACTCATAGCTACCCCATGCACAGCAGAATGAAACAATGTCCGATCCTAGGCCAACCTCACTACCACCGCCACACTTGAGTCCATCAATGATGCCACCTGGCCAATCCATCTCGTTGGGGGTCTTCCTCTTTTTCTCTGACCCTCCACCTTACCCAGCATGACATCCTTCTCCAGCAACTGTTCTCTCCTGACAATATGTCCAAAGTATGAGAGATGAAGCTTAGCCATCCTGGCCTCCAAGGAGCACTCTGGTTGTACTTCTTCCAAAACAGATCTATTGGTTCTTTTGGCAGTCCATGGCACTTTTAGTATTCTCCTCCACCACCACAACTCAAAGGCATCAATTCTTCTACGATCTTCCTTATTTACTGTCCAGCTTTCGCATCCATATGAGGCTATTGAAAACACCATGGCTTGGGTCAGGCGCACCTTAGTCCTCAAGCTGACATCTCTTCTCTTCAATACTTTAAAAAGTTCCTGTGCAGCAGATTTGCCCAATGCAATACGTCGTCTGATCAACTTCCATGGATGCCGGTAATCCAGGTCCCTAAGGCCCTGTTCCCATGGGTGGTTCTACTTTTCTTGGTTGCCCCAAAGAGCAGAGACCATGTCAGTTAGAGCTGAGCATAAAACTCTGGCCGCAGTTGTGTGGCATGTGTGCCAGTATAAGTACACTTTCTGGGAATCCCAGCGTCTCAGAGCCGTGCATGAGCACCTGTAAAATCACTCATTCATTCTCTTACCTTCATTAAGGGTCTAGCAGGGATTCATCAGGCAACTACGACCTTCCTTACAGAATTACTTTGAGGAGTCATGCTTACTCCTTAAATGCTTATATAAGGTGACTGGCACAAAGTTAGCCTGAAGTGCAGGCAGCTGATGCTGTGAACTGTTGTCAAGTTGGCATCCAACTTACGGTAACCCTATGCATAATGGGGCATGATCCTGTCCCAAGTTACAGGTTACACATAGGACCATTGTGGCCCATAGGATTTCTACTGGCTGTTTTTGGAAACAGATTGCCAGACCTTTCTTCCGACTCTGTGTTAGTCTGGACGCTCCACTGAAATCTGTTAATCAGAGCAACACACAAGGCTCCACTGACAGGTAAGTGGTAACTACACAAAAGGTACATTCACTGAGAATCTAACCTGGGTCTCCCACACGCAGGGTGAGAATTCTACCACTGAACTACCAATACCCTCTCACAATGCGAGTGGTTATTGATGTCGTTAAGTGCCATCGAGTCGGTTGCGGCTCATAGCGACCCTGGATAGGGTTTCTGAGGAGCGGCTGGTGAGTTTGAATCACTGACCTTGTGGTTCAAACCAACCTTGTGGTCCAATGCCTTATCTCACAGCATCACAAGCTATTTTAACTAATGCTTCTTGTATTACTATTTATGGTGGTGGTAGTTACGTGCCGTGGAGTGGGTTCCGACTCATAGCGACCCTGTACAGGTTTCCGAGGTTGTAAATCTTTATGAGAGCAGAAAGCCTTATCTTTCTCCCATGGAACAGCTGGTAGTTTCAAACTGCTGACCCTGAGGTTAGCAGCCTGATTCATAACCACTATGCTACCAGAGCTCCTATAAGGGAGGCAATCTAGGACAGTGGTTAAGACTGTGGGCTCTAGATTTAGGCTACCCAGGGTGCAAAGACCATTTCTATTACTCACCAGCTGTGTGACTTTGGGCAAGCTACGTAACCTCTCTGAGCCTCACTTTCTTTATCTGAAAAAATGGGAATTATATAGGATATGTGTGAGGATTCAATGGTGTCATACCTGTAAAAGGCTTCGAAAGTGCACCCAACACATGTCAGCTTGTTATATTGGTGGTGTTATTTGCTAATGTTCCTTATTTGAGACTTCTCGCTAAAGACTGGGAGACAAAAGTGTGGTCTGTGTCTCTTGGGCATTGACAGTTTAGTCAGGATCAGAATATATCCTAGCCCTGCTATGCTCCAATGTAGCAGCAACTTGGTTTATATGACTATTGAGCACTTGAAAT